AGACAACGAAGAAATCTGAGGGAAGGTGGGTGAATCAATTAACAGTAGGAGGTGAACGAAGAACAGTTGTCAAGACGACTGGATCATGCTGAGGGCCGACAAGGATGGTCGCTGAGACTGAACTGTATGCTTGAAAAAGAAGACAAGATCGCCGGGAAGGCAGCTTTAGTGGCATCAGTGGGGTGATCTACGTAGGCTTTGTGTAGGCGGTTCTTCTCAGCTAGCACATTTCTGATGGCGGCGTCGTTGTCGTCGAACCAGTCCTGGTGTTGGCGGGGAGCGCGACCGAGGACGGCGAGCGCCGTCGACTGGACCGTGTCTCGCAGTTGACAGCAGCGGTTCTCCACGGAGGCGTTCTCGGCAGCGGCGGCGTCGGCGGCAGCGATAGGAAGGTTGTCTAGCCGTTGAGCTAGCTCATTGCTGAAATGGAGATGGTGAGCGGGCAAAGACAACAAGGCAACATTCAGCTTACCTGGGAGTCGCTTACCTTGTGGTCTCCTGTGAGGCCGTAGTCGAATCCGCATTTCCGAAATGACGAGGCGATGATCGGTCCACCCGTCAGCACGCGCGATCGCCTTTGTCACCAGCACGTCCCGCTGATCTCGCTTCCGGACGGGAACATAGTCCAGCAGGTGCCACTGACGCGACCGAGGATGCCTCCAGGTGGCCTGCTCTCGCTCCGGCAGACAGAAGAACGTGATCGTCATGATGAGGCGGTATTCTGCGCAGTCGCGGAGCAGCAGCAGACCATTGTCGTTTGAGCCGCGGAGACCGTGGGGACCCACCACTCCCCTCCAGGCAGTATGGTCTGTGTCGACGCGGGCGTTGAAGTCGCCAAGGACAATCAAATTGTTCGCCTTCGACACAGTCGCCAGGAGGGCGTGCAGGTCCTTGTAGAATTCGTCTCTTGGGACGGCGTCAGGGCCGCTCATTGGGGGAGCGTAGGCGCTGATGATGGTGGCGGATTGGCCCCCCCGCCGGAGAGGCAGACGGAGGCCCATCAGGCGATCGTTGATGCCGTTCGGCAGACTGGGCAGTCGTCCCACGATGCATCCAGGATGCATCCAGGTGGCCCTGGACTACAAAATAGAGTAGATGTGCTAACTCATGAAATGTCAACCAAAATTTCCAAATGCGTTCTCGTTTCGAAAAGATAAATTAAACAGTGTTGTAAAACTAATCATGATGCAGCATAAATCTATAATGAACGAGTTACCTCTGGGTGTCGGCTTTCGAAAGAACATATTTTCGGCTGCATGCACGATCTATACTCTGCAAAAAATGACCACATAAGTAGCGTGCAATTTTCTCATTGATTTTCGATGCCCATGAAAATCCAATTATATTTCATGGAAAGCATGCATAAAAATATTCATTCTTTTACTTATTCGGTAGAAAATTGCGTCTTCTTCCATGTTCATATTCAAAAGAAGAGTATAATTCGGTTTTAAAAAAGTTTCTAATTGTGAGATATTTTAATGCCTTTAAATGGCCGTTCATGAAACGTCATGTATCTGCATTTACGAATGTGGCTTGTAAAGTTAACAATATTGCTCAAATCCACTGCTTAATTTTATGAACCTCATATGGTCTTCTCTTAACACCGTAGAGAAATGCATGGTATTTCGTACACGGAAAATATGCAGCTTGTAGTTTTGAAACCCCGAATGCAAGTGTAACAGCAGGTCGGATTCAAAATTATTCGGGAATTATAAAAGTTTTTCAAAACCGAATTATACTCTTCCTTCGAGGATAAAATTGAAAAAGGACGTGATTTTCCACCGAATAAGTAAACGAATGAATATTTTTATGCATGTTTTCCATGAAATATAATTGAAATTTCATGGGCATCGAAAATCAATGAGAAAATTGCACGCTACTTATGTGGTCATTTTTTGCAGAGTATAGATCTTGCATGCAGCCGAAAATAAGTTCTTTCAAAAGCCGACACCCTGAGGTAACTGGATCATTATAGATTTATGCTGCATCATGATTAGTTTTACAACACTACTTAATGAATCTTTTCGAAACGAGAACGCATTTCGAAATTTTGGTTGACATTTCATGAGTTAGCACAGCTACTATACACTTGATGATGACTGGGCAGCCATGCCCACCTCGGGAGCGCACGCACATTTACGGGCAGGGAACCAGCCGTCAGGGGACCGCCAGCGCATACCAAGCTAAGAGGGCCAGGGATTGCTGATGTCGGCTGACCCTCTAGACCGTTTGACCTAGAAGGGTGACATCACCATGACACCCACACGCTGTTAGGCTCACGTGATTGATGATCCTTCCCGCAGTACACCATCACGTCGGTAGGATTGTTTTCGACATCTATTTTGCAAAAACCTTCCCTACGCCTACACATTCCCTATCGACATCCCTTAACCCCCATTTTTCAATTCAAATCAAACAACAGCTCCATAGCAATCGTCAGGCTCCACCGTGTGCCTTAAACCTGCTCTCCCATTCAGTCTCACGTGGTCAAGTTCACTCTACACACCACGCCACCTCGCTGGCAGAAGTGTTTTTAAAATCCTTTCCCTGACACAACGAGACGCTGCACGAAATGTCGGGAATTTGGAGGAGGTGTTTTCGTGCCAATTCCATCTACCCCCTTGCCTGTGTTCCGCACGAACAAATACGAAGTAACTCTAGTAGTCCAAATAAAAACAGCTCCTGCAATTGTGTACTTCTTCGTTTAGGTGGTTGAAATTTATGCTTAAGGACGTGTGGACAGTGAGTCTAGTCACATCGTTTTCGTACACATGACAGTTAGTCAGCTGCGGTCCTCAACCTGCCTTTCCACATCTCCCACATACATCACAATTTCCTCATGTGCTACCGGTCGTCGGGTTGACATTGTTCCTATCTCCTAAACCTGGTGCAATCTATGTAGATTCCAGCAATCATTATGGTTACGGCGACTGCGTAGTACTCGGGACAGAAAGTGAGATCGGCAACGGTAGGGTGTAGGGCTCCACGTTGCTGGCAACTCCAACCTGTCAACTGAAATTCACTCTGACTGTAAACATCACGTATTATTTGCCGTTAACATTGGCTAAGATTGCCTTGCCTCCCTGACCGAACGTCGCCTTACCGGCGGTGGTTTATTCAGAGTCCGTTATTTTTGAAAATAGCTTATTGTGTATTAATTCATTCACTTGTTCTTGTGGAGCGGGATACATTGGCCGTACAATGAGGCGCTTGGAAAAGAGAGTACGTGAACACCTACCGGCCTGGCTAGGCAAAGGTGAAAAGAAATCGATCTCGAGTTCTATTCCCGCATATCTTGCCGATACGAATCACCGAGTCGATGCCAAAGAAGCCTTTCAGGTTGTCTACCGGACGCCAGCAAGCTTCGCCAGAGGCCTACGCCAACGGGTGCTAGCTACAGCCGAGGCAGTAGCTATATGACTGGCCAATCCAGTGCTATGCTGTCAGAAGACTCTGACACAGGCGCTCTGTCTTCCGTGGCCAACGCCGACCCCAGCGTAGCCCCAACCTCCTGATGGCAGGGCGTGTGCACAACGTACCCGACTTACTCACAGCCTATGCCCCCTCCCTCTCTCTAGCCCCCTTGACCCAATGACCACAACGCGCCGACCACGCCATGGCACGCCCCGTCATGCAGGTGGCGTGGGAACGATGGATGTTTATTGTTCCCGAATCACTTATAAGCCATGTAATTAGCATAACTTAAACTTCTATGCAACCGTTTTGGCCCGATGAAGAGTCACCAAAAGCATTTGTTCGCCAGTTTGAATTTTGGCTTATTTTTTAGTTATCACGCTCACATTCTTTGTCAAATGCCAGCGTACGATGAGACTTTTCGCAGAAATTTACTTATTTTCTAAATCATCTTGCATCGCAACTGCTCTGCGTCCTGCGTG